GTCGCCAAAATTCCACAGAAACCCACCGAGGACTACCCTGTGGACCCATTGTGCCCCACCTGCTCCCTGTTTGCATTGGGTGAACCATCAATGATGAGAGAGAACCATTGATTGGCTGCCTCCTGCACACCCCATACTAGGGATCAAGCCCGCAGCCCAGGCATGTGCCCTTGACTGGAATCATCCCCATGACTCCTAGATGCTCTATCCACTGAGCCAAACCAGCTAGGGCCTGCATGACTTTTTCTTGGAATTCTGAACTTCCTTGTTTTAAGGTAGGAGGCCCTGGGCTAGTCTTAAGGACAGAAGGAGAAAAATAAAGGTGGCTGGCTGGTTTTTGTTTTGTTTTTTTTAATTTTGGCTTTTCAATTGGAATTGCTTACTGAGAGATCTGAACAAAACCCTTGAGTAGATAAATGAGAATCTGAGTGTGTTCAGCTCCAAAAACAAGGGGCATTTTCTCCCTCCAGTTTGAATTTTGGGTATTCTTAGGTGACTAAGAATCTATGTGGAGGGGACAGAAGGTACCCCTCGGGATGAGCAGGACCCAGAAGGGAAACAGGCTGAAGAAGCTCCAGAGGAAGAACGAGCTACTGCTCTAGGACACCTTTCCTACGAATGTTCTTCCTGTTCCGTGAAAATAACAAAAACATAGAGATCATCATAGACCTAAGGCTACTACAGTCAACAACCAGACTCGGTAGCCGAAGGGCTTCCTCCCCAGCTCTGCTGTAGACGTGTTATGTAAACACAGAGAAGAGATAGTTAGGAGCTCCCCTTAGTGAAGTTCCGCTGGCTGAATCTCTACCGAACGCCCATCACACTCAGATTCCTGAGTTAGCTGACTGGCTTCTTACGAAGTTCTCCTCTCTCTGCACCTAATAGTACTTTAACTCCATGTAACAGTTTTAACCCAGCAATGCCACTACCTTCTTTGCAGGATGAGCATCCGCTATTGTATTTTGCTTATTAACTACCTTCTTGCTTTGGAACGGTGTTCAGGAAACTCCTATGGATAATGCTGACTTAATTTGGTTACCGATGGACCTTTGAAAGGTGGGCAGGGGTGTCACTGAGCTGGATATGCAACAACTTCCACGAGGACAAAATAGAAGGTTCTTATTTACTTGAATGAGATCTGCCCAGCAAGCTGAATTAATTGGTCTAACTTAGGCTTGTTAATTGGCCAAATAAATAGCCAATATCGACACTAATGGTAGCTATGCCTTTGCTGTAGCTTATGACTTTGAAATATTGTGGAAACAGCGAGGGTCCTTATCTTCCTCAGGTCAGCCTATAAAGAATGGAAGACAGCTTACAGAATTATTAGACTTCATACAGCAAATGAGGCAGTTGGCAATTATTCAAAATGGCAGGACTTTCTGAAGCTGCCACCATGGAATCGAAAGGAAATCATGCAACTAGACACACAGCATTGAACAGATAAGTTACCCAGGCCTGAGGATGCTTCTTACTTACTGCCTGCCAAAATAAGCGAAAGGCTCTTTTCCAGTCAACAGACGACTGCAGAAGAAAGAAAGAGGACATGGCAACAAAAAGGGGGAAACTTTGAGCCAGACAAGCAGATATGGTTTGAACCCAGTCAGAAAACAATCTTACCTATTGGGGCCCAACTCCCTATACCTCAACATGTGCCTAAGCTAATGCATTGATGATTTCATGGAATAAATAATATTACTGGAAACCTCCACTATAGCTCATAAAGTGTATAGCAAATGTTCCATCTGTCAAACCCACAGGTGCCAAGGACATTTTCCACTTCCTGTGAGGTGTGATAATTGGATTTTATCCAAATGCCACCACTTCAGTGATACACATATGTATTAGTTATGATTTGCATTTTTTTCTGCGTTAAGGCATTCCCTTGTAGGAGAGCAACAATCCTAACAGTAGATAAATTGTTATTTAAAAAATGTTTGTTTTTTTTCCATTGGGGGAATTCCCTCTGAGTTACACTGACTGAAGGGACCCATTCACTGGGCAGCCCACCGGTACCATTTGGCCTATTCTTTGGCATTTTCACTGTGCCTATCTCCCTGGTCCTCTGGATTAGTGGAATGTACCGATGGTACAATTACAATTCAGCGAGGTACATTTTCAGACACTTTTAATCTCCCTCGGCCAAAAAGCGCTCTTTACCATGCGCCTCAATCTGATATCTACCACTTTTGGTAAACATACACTTTCTCCTTGTAAAACAGTTACTGTTGCTTATGCATCTACATGAAGGGCACATGAACCAACCTTATTAAAAAGAGACATTCGGCCCTGATCAGTTTGGCTCAGTGGATAGAGCGTCGGCCTGCGGACTGAAGGGTCCCAGGTTCAATTCTGGTCAAGGACATGTACCTTGGTTGCGGGCACATCCCCAATAGGGAGGTGTGCAGGAGGCAGCTGATGGACGTTTCTCTCTCATCGATGTTTCTAACTCTATCCCTCTCCCTTCCTCTCTGTTTCTGCTTCAAAGGAGCCTTGGGGTTGGCGCGAGCCCCACCACCCGCAGTGGTAGTGGTGGCGAAGGTCTAGACCACATGTGTCAAACACAAGGCCCGCGGGCCAAATCCGTCCCGCCAGGCCTTGCAATGTGGCCCGCACCGCGCTGTCATCACTGCACTCCGCTGCGTTTCCATCACAATGACAGTTTATGACTGTTCAGTAAACCATTCGGCCTGCGATTTAGGCTGGATTTTAGATTTTGGCCCCTTCTCTGATTGAGTTCGACACCCCTAGTCTAGACCAAGACATTTCCAAGAGGCAACATGGTCCGGCGGGGCTGCCCAGGGCCTCCCCTCCTACTCAGTCTCCACAGAGGTCTCAGGAAATCAGGCTCTGATCTTCCCAACGTCCTCCCTAAAATCTGGCTGAAGGCGCCTCATGGGACTCCAGTCAGAAAGCCCATCGTCTTGAAGATGATCGTGGCTCATACTGTGAAGATCCCGTCTGTGCACTCGCCTCGAAGGAGCCCCAGGATTGCGTTTTCCTTGGAAAAAGAAAACAATCCTCCTACCAAGGAGCCCACTAAGGAGGACCTCGTCAAAAAAATGTAGTGTCCCGGCCACTCCTGCTCACAGCCCAGATGTTGAATCAAACTCCAGTGGCAGAGGCCTGGACCAGAGGCTTGGACATGTCCAAGACAGTCAGGCGATCCTACAGCCTCTGGACGCCCTTCACCGTGCCTCCACCTCCACCTCCACCCCAGGCCGCCCATCCTGCTTTGGCTTCGAGAGACTGCTGGGGACAGAAGACCTGGCTGGAGTCTCACCTTTGGTGTGTTCAAAGTTTACCCAGGATCCCTGGGAATCCTTGGGTCCCAGATACGACTCTCCCTGGAATTTCCCCACCCGTGAAAGAGATGGAAGAAAAAGAAGGTGCTAGAGATCCTGAAATCGAAACTGGATGAGTGGGCTGCAGACATGAATGCTGAGTTTGAAGCTGCTGAGCAGTTTGATCTCCTGGTTGAGTGAGATGAAACAGGGGTGCTCCTAGCCAGACTTCCTTCCTCCTGTACATAGCCTCTTCCTCTGTGCAAGACACTTGGGGTCCCCTTCCCTGGCCTCACTACCTGTGCGTGTGCTGCTGCTGCACGTGAGGTCTGCACATGAGTGTCTGTGCGGTGGCAGCCGTAGGAAATAGGGTTCGCTTGGCCGGTGTCCTGCTGCAGTCAGGGTCCCGCCATCATCTCCTCCCTCCTTCACGCAGCGTCCTGGCCAGTCTCCAGTTGGACTACAGACTTGAGGGGGAGAATCACTGGCCCAGCAGGAGGAGGTTACGGGGCTGAGGGTTGTGGGTGAGAGCATCTCCACTGTTGTTGCGGAATGTGGCTGCCCTGTGCCAGCCCCAACAGGAATGCATCCCCAGCCCAGCCCGTGTGGCTCAGTGATTGAGCATCGACCTATGAAGCAGGAGGTCGCGGTTCGATTCCCGGTGGAGGCACGTGTCTGGGTTGCACATTCAATTCCCAGTGTGGAGTGTGCAGGAGGCAGCCAATCAATGATTCTCATCATTGATGTTCCTTTCTCTCTCCACCTCTTCCTTTCTCTCTGACGTCAATAAAAGTATATTTAAAAAGAAAAGAAACAGGCACCCGCAGCCAGAGCAGCCTCAGGCTTTCCCTCCTGGGTTGCCTTCTGTTGGTGGCTTGGTTCCATCTAAGTACAAAGGCTTGGGTTTCCTTAGATTCTGTAGAATCTACAGTGTAGATGGTCCAGGAGAGCGTTTGTGGACTTGGGACAGTTCTCTCTGGGAGGAAGAAGCTGGACACTCAGGCAGTAGAACTGGGTCTAGAAGGAGAGTGGGAAAGCCTTCCTTGGCTTCGGACCATAGGTGTTTACTCCTTAGAGGCTGTACTTCATAGTTCTGTGTTCTGCTGTCGAGGTATTTGGTTAAAAACTAGGCCGATGGAGTGCTGGCGTGGAGGGCAAAGGGTGAATTTGGGGGTATGGCACCAGGTACCACAGGTTCCAGCCTCTATAGAACCTGAGGGTTGGCTGGGGAGGGGCCCATGGCAGAAGGTGACCCCTCTCATCATGCACATCTGTTTCTTACAAACTAACATTGACAGTCTACTCAGCTCTAGAACAAAAACATAGGTTAAGCAGTCCTAGTCCCACTGGCATTTTGCAGCTACACATGTAAAGTTCTAGGAAGCTTTTCTCACATTCCAGAAGGGTGAGGAGTCAGGTCGATAGCAGTGTTAACCTTTAGCTTCCTTAGTGCCCTGTCACAGGAGGACACGGCCTGAGGCAGGTGCTAGGAGTTGAGCTAGGGGGCAGAGAAAGATCATCTTCCTGTTTTCAAGGAACCCCACTCCCACCATTTCTCTTCTCACTGCTGGTAAAAGAGGTGCTTTCAAAGGCTGCCCAACCACACTTTGCTCCATCCCCCACGTGTTGACACGTACAGGGCTGTGGAAGTAGAGGCTAGTGAATAGCAGAGTGTCAGGGAAGATGGGCTTGGCTCAGCCACCTGCACGGCACTGATGAAGCTCTTCACGGGGCCTGGGAGTCCCCGCCTACCTGTTCCACACTTCGTGCTTTGTCAGATCTTACAAGCAAGCCCCTTTGTCAGGTGGGCCAGATGTCCTTGAGCCGGACCACACCTGAAGAATCCTTCTCCTCACTGGCTGGTGGCCAGGACTCCTGAGAATTGTTTTAGTCCTGCAGAATCAGGAGTAGCCAGATGATGTTGAGCTGATGTCATTGCTGCAAACTTCTCTCCCTGAAAAACTAAGAATGTGGAATTTAAGGAAATTTTTAAAAAAATAAACCTGGTTGAAGAGGGGAGAGAGAGAGAGAGAGAGAGAGAGAGAGAGAGAGAGAGAGAGAGAGAGAGAGAGAGAGAGAGAGAGATTCGCCCTCACTGGTTTGGCTCAGTGGATAGAGCATGTGGACTGAGAGTCCTGGGTTTGATTCCAGTCATGGGCACATGACTCAATCCCCAGTGGTGTGGGGGTGGGAGAGAGTGCAGGAGGTGGCTGATCAATGATTCTCTCTCATCATTGATGTTTCTCTCTCTCTCCCTCTTCCTCTCTGAAATCAATAAAAATAAAAATATTAAAAAAAAAAAAAGAAAAGAAAGAAAAAATAAAAAGAGATTCTGGCCTGACTGCTGAGGCTCAGTGGTTGAGCACTGACCTATGAACCAGGAGGTCACAGTTTGTTCGATTCAGGGAAAGGGCACATGCCAGGGTTGCGGGCTCAGTCCCCAGTAGGGGGCATGCAGGAGCAGCCAATCAATGATTCTTTCTCATCACTGATGTTTCTATTTCCCTCTCCCTTTCTCTCTGAAATCAATAAAAAAAAAATTTAAAAGAGATATTCTGCATTATTGTCAAGGATTTATTAACTAGCTTAAAGAAATTGATAATTGGTAAGGGATTCATTTCATAGTGTGTTCCCAGGAGACAAAGACTTCAAAGACCATAACGTACAACCAGGAGATCTTGTCTCTTGGAAAGATATCAACCTCAAATGGACATCTACCCTTGTCTCTGATACACCTCCACTTATAGCAGATCAAAGACTTCTCAAGTATTAGCCGGTTTGGCTCAGTGGATAGAGCGTAGGCCTGCTGACTGAAGGGTCCCAGTTTCAATTCCAGTCAAAGGCACATCCCTGGGTTGCAGGTTTCTCTCTCTCTCTCTTTCTCTCTCTCTCTCTCTCTCTCTCTCTCTCCTCCCTTCCTCTCTGAAATCAATAAAAAAAAGATAAAAAATGACTAGTCACTGACATCAGAGATAGCTATTCAAAGACATCAGCAACACCTAGATATCTACAAATTGATGTTGATCATAAAAAAATATTCATTTGACTGTCTTCACCTGCCCACTAATAAGATTGGTCATTATAATAGTTATTCTTGTTCTCTGGGCTTTTCTCAAACCTTGTATATGTACTCCAACTGTTAATAATTGCTGAAGGTGTACAATATAATGTTTGTATTATCGATAGTATTTTTTTTTATGGTTTCTCTTTGGAAAATTTAGAAGGAATGTTATTGCAGAAGGAGGAAAAGGGATGTGTATGTTTTTGAGATTAAAATGAAGTAGATTGTTATTCTTTATTATTTCTGAATGAGTAAAAAGAGAAACTAAGAAAGACAAGAACAGTTGTAGAAGACTAGTGGAAAAGGAATCTTGAGAAAGGAATTCTGTGTGTAAATGTGTGGACAAAATGGGACCACATAACAAGTTCAGGGGAGGCCTGCATGGCAGCCTTACAAACTCAGAAACTCAAAGAAACCACTTAGGATGGTTTGAAATTTAAACTTCCTCACTAGCCCTAGCCACTTTGGCTTAGTGGATAGAGCATCAGCCGGTGGACTAAAATGTCCCAGGTTCGTTTCTGGTCAAGAGGCAACCAATCGATTGATGTGTCTCTCTAACATCAAAATTTCTTTCTCACCCCAGCCGGTTTGGCTCAGTGGATAGAGCATTGGCCTGCGGACTGAAAGGTCCCAGGTTCGATTCCGGTCAAGGGCATGTACCTTGGATGCGGGCACATCCCCAGTATGGGGTGCGCAAGAGGCAGCTGATTGATGATTCTCTCTCATCGATGTTTCTAACTCTCTATCCCTTTCTCTTCCTCAATGTAAAAAAATCAATAAAATAGCCGAAACCGGTTTGGCTCAATGGATAGAGCGTAGGCTTGGGGACTAAAAGGTCCCGGGTTCGATTACGGTCAAGGGCATGTACCTTGGTTGCAGGCATATCCCCAGTAGGGGGTGTGCAAGAGGCAGCTGATCGATGACTCTCTCATCGATGTTTCTAAATCTCTATCTCTCTCCTTTCCTCTCTGTACAAAAATCAATAAAATATATTTTAAAAAATAATTTCTTTCTCTGTGTTTGCCCCCTCTTTTCCATTCTCTCTGAGAAATCAATGGAGAAATATCCTCGGGTGAAGATTAAACAAACAAAAAGTAAAAAAACCTTCTTAACCAAAGGTGAGTCAGTGCAAGGAGTCATGCAGGTAGTCATGTCCTAGGCCAGTATCGCCTCTCATGAAGGTCATTCTTTACCACCCTGGCTGGTGTGGCTCAGTTAGTTGAGCATTGCCCCATGAACTAAAAGGTCACCAGTTCAATTTTCCATCAGGGAACAGCCTCCTAAGGTCACCAGTTAGATTCCCCCTCAGGGCACATGCGCGGTGGGGAGTGTGCAGGAGGCAGCCTGTCAATGTTTCTCTATCACATTGATGTTTCTCCCTCTCCCTTCCTCTCCCTCTAAAGTCAATAAAAATAGATTTTTTTTTAGAAGTCAATCTTTACCTTAACTGAGCCTACCTGTTGTCTTTTGCACCTAGGATGACATACATTTGAAATGTCCGAGTTATTTCCTTTTCCAGACTCTTCAGGGCATAACCTCCACCAGGGCAGGAGACACAGAATTCCTCATTGTTATCTTATTCTCGAATATACCATCTCCGTGTGCTACAAATGTTGATAGCTAACTATCCTGTACCCACCAATGTAAAAGAACTATGTGCCCCTCCATTTTGCCTTATTATCCAATCCCAGAGATTTCCCCACTTTGCCTTCTCCCCCCTCACTAGTCTATCACCATTGGATTTCATGTAGCCCCCTTACAGATTCCTCCTTTGATTGTAATCTATAAAACAAGGTGCAAAACTGTCACTATCTGGAGCATTTTCTCAATCCCTTGAGATTTTACTTCCCAAGAATTGTCATTAGTTTGGCTCAAATAGACTCATAAAAATTATCCACAGGTTTGGATTTTTCTTACATTGACAAATGCTAGAACCCAATTGTGGGAAGATGCTTACTCCCTAACCCAACAAAAATTACTAGCTATATTATTAATTCATATGGAAGCTGAAGTGGTTATAAAAACATGGTCCTCTATAATGCTGCTAAGACACAGGAAATGTACATATGAAACTCTTACTGTTTTCCTAGACTCTGGGAAATTTTAAATGGTAATAATAATTTACAGCCTTGGCCGTGATTAAATCTTAAAGTTACAGTCCTAATTGTACAACTAGCAGGAATCAGATTAATAATGATAATGACAATTGGGTGCTTCCAATGGGAAGTAGATAGGACATATTAAAATAAGAACAACAACAACAATACCTATCTCATGGTACTGTAAAAACAAAAGAGATGCATGGTGTGCCCTCCAGCTCTAAGTAAATGTTATACTAGGTGCAAAATACAGGAAAGTGAAATGGTAGCAAAACTTAAATCACAGCTTTTAGGTTAGAAAGCCAGATGGCTTGTTTCTTTTCTCTTTTTAAAAATTTTATTTTGTTAATCCTTACCCGAGGATATTTTTCCATTGATTTTTTAGAGAGAGTGGAAGAGAGAGGGAAAGACAGAGAGCAACATCGATGTGAGAGAAACACATAGACTGGTTGTCTCCTGCACAAGCCCTGACCAGGGCCTGGGCCAGGGAGGAGCCTGCAACCAAGGTACATGTAGCCCCCTTACAGATTCCTCCTTGACCAGAATCAAACCCTTTGGTCCACAGGCTGGCACTCTATCCACTGAGTCAAACTGGCTAGGGCCAGAAGACTTGTATGTGTGTGTGTGTATATATATATATATATTTTTTTAATACCTTTTTATTATTTCAGAGAAGAAGGGAGAGCGAGATAGAAACATCGATGAGAAAGATCATCGATTGACTGCCTCCTTCATGCCCCCTACTGGGGATCAAATCCACAATCCAGGCATGTGCCTTGACTAGAAATTGAACCAGTGACCTCTTGGTTCACTAGTCAATGTTCAACCTCTGAGCTATACGGGCTGGGCATGAGGACTTTGTCTTAAAAAATATATATATATATATATATATATATATATATATTATTGATTTCAGAGAGGAAGAGAGAACCATCAATGATGAGAGAGAATCATTGATCGACTGCCTCCTGCATACCCTCTACTGAGGATCAATCCCTCAACCAGGGCATGTGCCCTTGACCAGAATGAAACCTGGGACCCTTCAGTTGACAGGCTGATGCTCTATTCACTGGGCCAAACCAGCTAGGGCACGAGGGCTTTTCTCTTAATGAAGGCCTATAACACCTGACTGCCTCCCATTTATTTGCCTTTCCCTTTTGAGAAAATTTTGGCGTTGACTTCCATCAAGTTTATAGTCTTGCCGCATTCCCAGGGGTCCATTGTTCAGCAAGACAAATGGTGACACTAAGACTTCCTAGGAATGAGCCTTCCTAGCACCCTGGGGACACATTATCCAACCAAGTGGTTGGTCACCAGTGCATCCTTTGGATTGATTTATAACCTAAAGAAGGAAGTGTGGGTGAAAAGGGGATTACATACTAAACCTGACAAACTTTAGAGGAGACATGCATGGTGGGCCCTACAAACTCAGAGTCCAAAGTAACAGATAGTCTGAACATTAAAATTCCTAATTAAGAGTGGGTCATAGCAGTGGTCATAACCTAGGCCTGTAGCATCTTCCTTGACAAAGGCCCATCTTTACATCCACTGAGCCTGCCTATTGTTTTTGTTTTTGTTTTTGTTTTTGTTTTGCCTCTAAAGTCACACACCCTTGGAATGTCAGAGTAATCTTTTCCAGACCACCTCAGGCACACCTACCGCACCAGAGCATGAGATACGAACTCATTGTGTTTTCTTCCCTGTGTGCTGTAACTGTTGTTAGCAACCCTGGATCTACCGATGCGGAAGAAGTGTGTGTCTCTCTGTTTTACTCCTTATCCAATCTCAGAGATTCCCAGAATTTACTTTCTCCTGCCCCTTTATTCTACCACCAGTGGATCTCATGCAACCCCTCTTCCGTCTCCTTCTTTGATTCTAATGTATAAAATAAATTGTAGAACCGCCATTCTCTGATGCATTGTTGTCCATTTGTTGAGATTTTATCTTTCTGGCAATTTTCATCATTTTGGCTCAAATAAACTCATAAAAATTCTGTACAGGTCCCAACATTTCTTACCTGGACAGTATGTAATGAAACAAAGAGCCCAAGTTGGCTGGAGGGGGAGAGGGGAGACTTACTCTTCTCAAGGATGGACCTGGAGTTTATGGGGGGTCTGCTTCACCTGTCCAGCAGGGAGTCCTGCACTGATCCAGAGGGCAGAGGGTAGCCTGGTCCTTGGTGGGGCCTGTCCCTACACCCTGCTAAGTCACCACAGGGCTCAGGACTCCAAGTCCAGTCTTGTTCATGCCCATCAGTGCAGGGCAGTTGTCTCTGGCAACTAATTCTCTCTGGGTGCCACCTTTCCAGGTCCCTGCAGGTGCTCCCGAGTGAGTTGAGAAGAACTGGGCATCCCCGCGCTGGGTGGGTAGCTCGGTTGGTTAGAGCATAGTCCTGATAGGACTAGGTTATAGATTCCATCCCTGTGTATAGGGTACATACAAGAAGCAACCAATGAGCCTGGTGGCATGGCTCAGTGGTTGAGTATTGACCTATGAACCAAGAGATCATGGTTTGATTCCCGGTCAGGACACATGCCTGGGTTGTGAGCTGGATCCCAATGGGGGTCGTGCAGAAGGCAACCAGGCAATGATTCTCTCTCATAATTGATTTTTCTATCTCTTCCTCTCTGAAATCAATTTTTTTTTTTTAAAAAATCAACCAATAAATGCATAAATAAGTGGAACAACAAATTGCTTCTCTCTTGCTCTCTCTCTAAAAGAAATAAAATAAAAATAAAAAATTAAGTGAAAGAGGCCGAAACCGGTTTGGCTCAATGGATAGAGCGTCGGCTTGGGGAATGAGGGGACCCAGGTTCGATTCCGGTCAAGGGCATGTACCTTGGTTGCGGGCATATCCCCGGTGTGGGGGTGTGCAGGAGGCAGCTGATCAATGACTCTCTCATCGATGTTTCTAACTCTCTATCTCTCTCCCTTCCTCTCTGTACAAAGTCAATAAAATATATTTTTAAAAAAATTAAGTGAAAGAGGAAAGGAAGGAAGAGAGACAGAGACACAGAGACAGGGAAGGGAGGCAGGGATGGAGAGAAGGGACAGAGAGAAAACCGTGCACCCCTGTGCTTAGGGCACCGCAGCCATGGGAAGAAGGCAACTCCAGCAAGGAGAGCGCCCTTCTGGGAAAGGTGCCCGAGTGTCTTCCCATTCCACGTGCTCAATCTGCCAATGAGGCGCTTGGGAGAAAGAATGGCCGGGGCGGAGGCAGGCGCCCCGGTTTCTTTCAGAGGAAAGTAAGTCGAAAGGGCTGAGGGTTCTAGATAGGGAGGAGGGGCTCCGCAAAGCAGGAAGTGCTGGACTGTGCGCAGGGAGGGGCCCCGAAGCCTGCACTGGAGCGGGGGCACCACAAGGGAGTGCTCCAGACGCCTCCGGGGAGCCCAGGAGGCCCTCGGCCACGCTCCCTCCTGGTGCTGCCTACAGCTCCTTCCCAAACTCCCGCTGCAGCGCACGCCGCGGCCGGGAGGGGGCGCCGGGCGGCGACGTGGGCGGGGTGAGGCGGGGGATTCAAGCTTCCAGCCTGTTATAAGGCGCGGAGCCTGAGAGCGATTCATTCCGAGACGCCGAGCTCGGTCCGCAGGTGCCCTCCACCTCAATGGCCTCCGCCGGAGCCCGCCTGCTGCTCTGCTTCGCCGGCCTGCTGGCCGTCACCGCGGCTGCCGCCTCGGACCTCGGGGTCGGGGCTGCCGCTGCGCCCCCGGGAAGCCGCGTCCGCAGGGAGCTGCCCGCCGATGATGCTGCGGGTGTCCGCTTGAGGCGTGCCACCACCCGCCGGCCGGTAAGACTCGCACCTCCGAGCCTCAGTTTCCCTGAGGCCCGGGACACACCAAGGGAGGAGGGCGCTAGCTCCCGGGGCCTCGCCAGCAGGGACCTGACTGACTTCCGGTGTCCCCCTTTCTAATGTGGGGACCAAGCTTGCCGGGATCCAGGGAGCAGAAGGGTTCTGGACGCCACCCCTCCGCACAGCTGGGTATTATAAAAACCTTGACCTTGGCTTTTGGGTAGTTTTCGTTGACATTAAAGCAACATTCTACTAGGTCAGGAGAATATGCCGTTTATTTGGGGTCAGAAGGTAGTTGGGAAATACCTGGAAATAACTTGATGTTCATGGGATTGGAAAGAAACGTGAGCTGATCCCCTCCCGCAATCTACTTGGTGAAATTCATTGTAAAAAATGGAACTACTTTTCCCCTGGGAGAAGGTCTGGGGGAAGGAGGTGTGAGGGCTGCAGAAGCCCAGTGAGGTGTGACTTCTGGATGTGCAGGAGTCACCCCTAGCTCTGCCCTGCTCCTTCTCTCCCCGCTGGGGTGAGGGGAATCAGGATGGGTAGGAGGGTGTTGGGAGAGCCCTCAGTGTGGTGGGGTCTTTCAGACAGGAAGGTGATTGGAGTCCCTGCATTCTCAAGATGCTTATCGGCCTTGCAAAGGATAGAGAAGCAGTGGTGGCCTCAGGCCTGAGCTTCTGCTCTCAGCATCACACTTGGGATCACCAAGGGCAAGGACACCCCCTCCTGTGGAAGCAGCCAGCCCTTCTGGCTCCCTGGGAGGGTCCTCCCTGAAATCCAGTCTCCACCTGAGCTACTTCCCAGGGATTGAAGGCAGACCCCTCCCAGGCAGTCAACCACACCCTTGAGGGGCAGGGGATACATTGCCAGGAAGCAGATAAGGAGCTGGGGTGCTTCCAGGCAGGGTTCTGGCCTTGGACCCTCTTTGGGAGTCAAGGTGGCACCAGAGATTCCCCAGCTCCTTTCTGAGAGTCCCTGAGGCTGGAGACCTCCGTCAGCCAGGGCAGCTGCTGGACACCCACTCACACCACGGCCCATCTCCCAGGTCTCCAGACCAACATGGCTCCAACTCTCTGCTCTCCCCACACCAAACTGGGTCCGATCTGGTCCATGCACAGGACACTGGACCAGCTGGGTGGGCCAGCTCGGCATGCTCACGCAGCCCTCGTGGAATCCTGCCATGTTTCTACCAAGGGCAGTTGGAGGCTGCAAGTGGCATCACAGATCCTTGTGTTCGGTGAGCAGCCAGCAGGTTGGCATCTCGCAGGGCCCACCGACCAATAAGACACGGGAAAGCTGGAGAGAGACAAGGCCCTGGACACTTGGAGGCTCCTCCCACAGAAGCCCCCATATCCTCACCACGGCAGTGGTTCCCGCAGAAAGCCCAGGGATGAGAGACCACCAGATCTGTCTCTGATGAAAGGACCTCACCAGCTCTAAAATGCTGGGTCCTTCCATTGGCCCTGGAGTCGGTGCCCATGACCTCATCTAAGCCCTCTTGGGCCAGTTTCTATCCTAGCTGGCAGCCTTGCCTGGAGCCCAGATACTCTGAGGCCTGCTGTCCAAAGGGCTACAGACCTCTCCCTGGAAGGTACCTGCTGAGAACTTTCCTACCTGTCATGACTGGTCAGAATGCAGTAGGCAGGGGAATGTACATTTCTGGACCGGTCACTGTCCTTGCTCGGGTCAAATGTCCTGTAAGTCCTGAGGAGGTTGGGCAGTGTCACGCCCCATACACAGGCCTTAAAATCCTGACATCTCAGTGCTGGACCGCCCAGACCCCCTAACTGCCCTGGACTGAGGGCTGAAATCAGGTTCCCTGGAACTTCAGAAGATGGGGGTGGGATGGGAGGCCAGCTGATCAGTCGCCTATGGGTGTCAGTGGTCAGAGCCTTCCGGTAACTCTGATAGAGGGAGTTGGAAGAGGCCAGGTGGTGCAGCTGGGCTGAAGAGCTCTGCACCTGTCTTTCTCTCCCACAATGTCCAGATCATGGTGTGGCCCATTCCCCATGGTCCTCCCCAGGGGCTGTGCGTCAAGGGCTCCACTGAGGGCCAGTCCTATATATGACCTCCTGAAAAGTGTCCTGTCTAGTCTGCTCGGTGGACATCCACTGTGACGGACAGGGTGTGGGAACCAACCTGATGCTTTCTAGGAGTCCACCACCGAGAGAACAGCCATGCTGGACAGTTGGGAGGCCTGGAAAGCTCTACTCAGGAACAATGCTAAGGCCAAGAAGAGCAAAGGCCAGAAGCTGGAGGTAAGCAAGGCCAGCCAGGATGTGTGTGCGAGGAGCCTACAGTTGTGGGCCCTCCATGAACCCCCAGCCCACATCCCCCAACGGCCCCCAATGGCACACCCTGAGCACTTCATCAAGCAGACTCTTACCTTTGGCCTGGGGTCAGAGAGCACAGAAAGCGTCCAGCCAGAGGCTCAGGTGGCTCTGGGGCCTGCTTCTACCATTTACCCTGAACCCCTGGAATGCCAGGCAGCCCCATCAGCTCTCCTCCTCCTCCATCCTGCTATAGACCTGGGCTGGCAGCTTTCAAAGCATGGAACCTTACTGCCTTCTTAGCAGTCTGAGACCCCAGAGGCTGACCTTAGAGGTCAGAGGTTAAAGTGGAACCCCTTTTGCCTGCCTGTTAGTGGCAGGAATTTGCAGAGCAGGTGCCCATAGTTCACAGCCTGTCCATTCAGATGTCTTCACGGCCAAGTTTCCCTTCCAGTCATGCCCCCAAATCCTTGCCCTCCTGGACAACTCAAGGCCCGTCAACTCATCAGAACTGGTGAAGGAGCTCCGGCGGCTGATCGAAGGTAGTAGATGCACACCATGTGGGGATATACTCCTGGGTGTGAGTGGGGCTGGGAAAGGTCTCCCAGAGGAGCCAGTCAGGCTAGGCCTCAGCATGCCTGCAGCACCCAATAAAGCCCCTGCACTGTGCCAGGCTCAGGGTGAGGAGCTGGGGGTGGGAGTGTGGTAAGGAGGACACTGCAGAGGAAGGTGGACTTAACCACTTGGTGCCCAGTAGGTGCTTGGGGACCAGCACCCACACCCAACCTGGGAAGTCAGGTGAGTCCAGGAAAGACCAGGAGATCTGAACCCATACCCCCTCAAGTGAGGAGTGTCAGGAGGGGGCCAGTGCTCTCGAAGCTTTCACAGTGCTCCTCTGATTCCCCCAGTGACACCTGGGAGATTTAAGGCTCAACCCAGTCAACAGGCCCCAACTGCAAACCCCAACTTCTTCCCCTCCATCACCTCTGCCCCTTCTCGACAGATCTCAGCTGCTGGCAGAGCCCTTGGGAGGCTGCCTGGTAGGGCGGGAGGACTGTACAGGGACAGCACAGGGCTAGCATTACCAGGGCACCATCTGACCCAGGCTGGGCAGCTGAGATGAAAGGCATAGAGTAGGGGTTCTCAACCTTTATAATGCCGTGACCCTTTAATACAGTTCCTCATGTTGTGGTGACCCTCAACCATAAAATTATGTTCGTTGCTATGACCCACAGGTTGAGAACCGCTGTTGTAGAGCCTAAGACCATTGGAAAACACAGATATTTACATTATGATTCATAACAGTAGCAACGAAAATAGTTTTATGGTTGGGGTCACCACATGAGGAACTGTATTTGTGGCATTAGAAAGGTTGAGAACCAGTGGCATAGAGGGAGACAACAGAGCTGAGCTAAGGGGCTGGGGGATGTCTCTGCACTGTGGATGGAGGAAATGGGTAGCCACATTATTTACTAGATTAACTTTATTATGAAGAACCTAGTGACCTTCCCCCCACTTTAATTCAATATAGTGGTCAGTTACATACAGTTTCAGAGGCTGAAGAACTACATGTTATTTCCAGTATAGTTGCAATGATGTTTATGTATACCCAGCTTCCTTCCAAAGTTGACCAGAGCTGGTTGATATGATTGCATTCGCTGATACAGTAAAACCATAAACAGAAGGGGGAAATGCGGGTAGGATAAGGAGGTAAGGCAGAGAACAAGGGCACTGGATGTGAATCTGCCCTAAAAGCTTCCGGGTAGCCAGTGTGAAGGGAAACAGGAGCAGGGCAGGGTTAAGAGGCAAAGCTTCTGCCTGCCGGGCAGGCTGCAGTCTCTGGGAGGGGTTTGAGGGAGGGGGGCATGGAAAGGAGGGCTCAGCCTCCACTTGCTCTGTGCCAGAATATGTGCCACTGCGAGAGCGCATGTTGCTGGGCCTTGCCTCACATGATGCAGAGAAGGCAACAGGGAACAGGGACAGCGTGGACGAGCTGGCAGAGGCCCTGGTCACGAGCCCACGGATCATGGGGGGCGCCTTCCACTGCCGCCTGCGCCAGAAATTGTCGGTGGAGCGGCGCACGCTGCATGAACTTGGTGGCTACTACCTGGTGAGTCCTGGCCTGGGGGTGGGGAGGGCAAGGAGAGGGTGTGGTGGGCCCAGGTGACCCTGTCTGCACTCCACAGCCTGAATCCGAGGGTGCTTTCTTTCGTGGTCTGGGCCTGAACCTGACCAGCGGCCAGTACAGAGCGCCAGTAGGGGGCTTCTACGCTCTTGCTGCCACGCTGCACGTGGGTGAGACCTAGTGCCAGTGTGTGTGTATGGGGGTGGAGGTGGGGGAGGGGGAGGAGAGGCTGGGAAGAGACCCTCGGCTCCATCCACTGACTACTCTCTCCATCCCCTAAGCCCTTCCTCAGCATAGGAAGCCAGAGCAGCGGCACCCTCGGGACCGCCTGCGCCTGCTCATCTGCATCGAGTCCCAGTGCCAGAATCACACGTGAGTGGGCACGTGGGTGGGGGCGGGGAGTGCAGGCAGGGAGTGCAGGCAGTTTAGGGCACTGGACCTGGACCCTGTCCTCCATCCTCACTGCCACCTTAACCTGGGTGACCCCAATGCTCTCATCTCAGCAGCAGGAGCTAACTGGGCTTCCTGGGCACCCCCCTTCACCTCAACCATTCCCAGACCCCTCTGTGACCCATCCCCATTAACTCTCCCACCAGCTCCTGTAAACTTCCTTCACTGTCCGTGACCATGCCCACCTTCCAACTGCACGTGGTCACTGAGGGCAGGGGTTCCTCCCTCTGTCCCCCACCCAGAACAGATCCAGACCCAGGCAGATGCTGGCAATAGCTGAAGACAGGAATGAATGAAATTCAAAACTTCTGATTCTCGTTTTGAAAGCCCTCCACATTGGCCTGGCCCTCCCACCTAAGCTGCAGCAGCCAGTGCAGTGGGGTTCCTCACAGAGCTGCTTCTAGCTGCGGCCGGGCTTGCCTTTCCTGGCACCTGCAGCACAGCTGGTCCTGTGGAGACTGGCCTCCTTTTGGGAGCCCCGTTCAGAAGTTGCCTCCACCGGAAGATCCAAGATAGCTGTCCCCTTGGCACTTTGCTGGGTCTTGTGTGGTAACATTGGCAGGGTCTGGGGTGGAAGCTCTGAGTGATCCTCTTTCTGCTTTGGCCACAGATCCCTGGAGGCTGTCATAGGTCTGCAGAGCGGCAGTGAGCTCTTCACCATCTCCGTGAATGGTGTTCTGTATCTGCAGGTACAGGGGCAGGGTTGGGCACGTGAGGGGAGGTGAAGGAGGGGCTTGCCACCTGGTTTGTGGCCATGAGGGTGACCTGGCAGGGAGGGGTGCTGGTGGGCATTAAGGGGCTCTGGGTGCAGCACCCCAACTCCAGGCCTGGGAGAGGCTGGGGACCCACCACAGCCTTCAGACTAGTGCAGGCAAAGCTGGGCCATGTCTGTTTCCTTTTCCCGAATCTCACTCTGCCCACAGGGCCACTGGCTCTCAGCAGCAGCATTGAGACCTCCCAAGTCTCACACTGAGGGTTGGTGCTCCTAGTGATAGAACCCAGGCTGACTCCCTCATGACACCTGAGCCCACTGCCATTGCAGGAAGCAGGGCATGTAGTTATTTTCTTTCTAGCACTGAGGATTGGGGCATGTAGTCAAGGAATTGATGCAAAGGTGAGATTCACTAAAAAAGAAAAGCTGTCAGTGTGGCTGTGTGAACAACAGCTCACATTTAAATAGCACTATGCAGGCCCCATTCTAAATGCGTTGCAAAAATGACCCATTTCATTTGACCCACTTTGAGGTGGGTACTACTATTATTCCCATTTTACAAACGGGAACAGAGCACAGAACGGTTAAATAACTTGCCCAAGCTCACACAGCAGCCAGGATTGGAGGCCCAGCTGCTGAAAGGCATTTTTAGTGGTCTGGTCTGGTCTCAGGCACCAAACACGTGGGAAAAGCCAAATGGCTCACGGTGCAACTGGAGTCCTAAAATGCAGGAGGGGGAGGAGGGTTCCTGATGTCTACAGTTTTGGGAGTTCCCAGGGGATGGGATCCTGCTGGTGTGTGGACACCTGGAGCAGCCATGCCAGAGTACTGATCATTCCCATGATAGCCCTGCCCAACGGGTCAGACACCAGGCCTGTGGGACGGGGCCATCCTCATACACAAGGTTAGAGTCTTACAGGCTCCATATGCAGCATAGAAGCCTGTTGACCCCCTGCTGGCCTTGACCCACTGCTGGCCTTGAGCAGAGATTCCCTCTCACACATGTGAACTGCAGGAGCCCATAAGCACAGGGACCAATGGAGCTGGAAAGAAAGCACTAGAACAGGGCAGAGGTGCTGTGTTTTGAGGGTGTGTGGCTGCCAGTGCCCAGACTGACTCTGCCCTTCTCATCTGCCCTTCTCACAGATGGGGCAGTACATCTCTGTCTTCCTGGACAACGCCAGCGGCTCCCTCGTCACTGTGCAAGGCGGCTCCCAGTTCAGCGCTCTCCTCCTTGGCATCTGAGCAGTATCGAGTTGGGTCCCAACAATCTCTGGGCCTTGTTAGTGACAGAGGCCACATGCAGGATAAAGTCCATCCAACTGCCCACAGTGGTCCTTGCAGTTCAGCCCAGAGACGGCCACTCCAGGCAGCCTGGGGAGGTGACAAGCAAACCTGCTGCCCAGAACCAGAAAGGACTTTAAGATCCAGCTTTACCAGGGTTCAGCGCACCCAGGCCTGGGGCCCCCAGCTGGCCTATAGACTTATCTAAAATCTCAGCTCCCCCTGGCCTGCATGGCTCAGTGGTTGGGCATCAACCCATGAACCAGGAGGTCAGTTTCATTCCTGGTCTGGGCACATGCCCAGGTGTGGGCTCGATTCCCAGTGTGGGACATGCAGGAGCCAGCCAACCAATTGCTCTTTCTCATCACTGATCTTTCTTTCTTCCTCTCTGAAATAAGTAAAAATATATTTAAAAAATAAATAAAACCTCAGCCTCTTCACTGTGGCCAAGCCCCGCCCTTTCCATCTTTCTTAGTGTTGAGAATGCTGGCACAGGGGAATGGCCGGCCTGCCCGCTAGGGTGTCCTGTGTAGAGGGACAAGGCAGTCTGTGCAGGGCCCCCTAGGGTACATGAGCTGCTGGAGGGCCAGCTTTAGCAGCAGCCTTCTCACTGTGCCCATCTCCACCTGGGGCTCCATCCCAACCACGCCTTTGGCCTGTACTGATCACAGGATCTGACTCTCTTTGTGGCCCCTTGGTGCAGCAGCCTTGGACATCAGACAGACACTGGACAGGGCTAATGGGGTGCAGAGCAGGGAGTCTGGGCCCAGCTTCCAGGAGCTCCTTTCACTTATTAACATGTACAAGCTAACGGGCATCTCAACTTGATGATTTATCAAAGAGGAGCAGTAAACCTTTTCATAGACAAGGTCCTTTCCCATCCCTTCTGAGGCTGACTCACTGCTAGGATCCACCAGCCATGAGGAAGAACGAGAACATGCTTGAAGGCCCGCCCACCCACCTGACCAGGCAGAACAGAGGCTTCCCAGGAGCTAGCAGCCCTTGGTCCCCCCCCAGCCTAGCAGGGTCCATGGGTTCTGGGGCTCTTCAAGGCATCCACTCCAGTTAGGTGAAAAGAGGCTACAAGCTCAGACAGGCGGAGATGGAGACCATACGGAGAAAGAGCTGGTCTTGAGAGGGCTGGGTACCACCAAGTCCCGTGCTGTTGCTGCAGTGATAGCATCTACATAGCTGTCAGCCTACAGTACATTCCATCTAAGGAGCAAGAATGACCCAGAGCAGGTGGTCCTTCTGAAGTTACCCCAACACCCCACCCATCCATTCACACAATGGGCTCACATGAAATCTGGTACGAGGATATTGTGGGGACAATGGCTTAATCTCTTAGCTGGCCTGAGGATGACTTCCCCAGGAGCCTACACAGAAGTAAACATCTCACTCCCAGCTGGCTCCCAATATGAAACCCTGTACCCCTTGCCAGGCCTGGCACAGGCACAGTTCTCAGTAGGACCCGCCCTACTAAGAAGTGCCAGCTGGCCTGGTCCTGTGTCCCTCTCTCTCTGATAAGGGTTGGTGTAGCCACAGATATTTTAGGAAAGTTATCTTCTACCCTTGAAAAAGCCACAGATCTCTTTCACTTTCTCCACTTAAGTATTATAGCCATTTATTAGAGTGTTTATTGTTAGTATTGCCAGATTAAATATATTTATATAACTAAATTTATGAATTGATCAAGAATTGTTACGTGATAATACAAAAATAAAGTATAGACCTTAAAATATAGGATCTTAATCATTTTAGGCTAAGGATGGGGAGGAGTGACCTCTTTGAGGTGAGGTGGGGGATGACCCCCAGCTGGGGAGGAGGCTTGAACTTCACGAAGAAGGTGGGGAAAGGGCCTTGCTAGGGAAGCCTCAGTGGCAAGCCTCTTCCAACTCTGAGACGGCTGGGAATTAGGGGCATGTGAGTCACATGCTGATACCTAGTTTGCTATAGGAGGATGTTTATTGAACAAATTATTTATTTCCCAATTTGAGCTTTTGAGGCTCTTTCCTTCAATGATGCCAGTTCCTCAGCAGCAATAGAACCTGGCATGTTACTCTCTGGGGAAGGGTGTGCTCAAAATGTTCCCCTGAGGTACTTGTAAGCAGGGACACCAATCCCACCAACTGAATGGGTGATAAGACCATGTGTGTATGCTGGGCAGAGGCCAGAGAACATTACAAAACAGCTTCCTGAATGGCAAGTTTTTAAAATCTTACATCATCCTGAGGCAAGCATTTGCCCAAAAAGACCTTAGAGCTGCTTTCCTAGAAATTAATTATAGCAATACCGATGATTTGTTTTATATAGAAATAAGAGCTTGAAAAGTATTTTCTAATCTTCCTGGTAGGCTGATCATGAATGCATTTTCCCTTTGAACATCCTTAACAGAAGGGCACCCTGTAAGGTATTACTGGAAGATGGACTCAGCCCAGCAGAGCTCATGGAATGCACCTTCTTACAATGCAGTTGGCTCTCAGAAGCCACACTCCACAGGAGCTTGACCGCTCCATCCGGGAAATACATTTCACACCCAGGGGATCTTGATGGGAGACCTGGTAAAGTCAGTCCTCCAGAGCCCTTCCTCCAGACTATGCTGTTCTCACAGGAGTTAGAAACAAGCTATACCACCATGCTGCTTCGGAGAGCTCACCAGAGGCACACCACTCTAGAATAGATAACTTTGTGTACCAGTCTACTGTCCTGGCTAAGCCTGGGTCGAGTATAAAATGTTCTGTAACCTTATTTTTGTATGGAAATCTGAAAGAAGCTGGAGTGCTCCATTAGCCCTGGGGTTGGGACCCATCTGTCCTAACAAGAAGACCAGAGTATAATATATTCAAAAGCAAACAGAAGGGTCTGTTAGCCTCTGAAGGGTCACAAGTTTCTCAAAATGTAATGAGATAAGATTAGAAAAAAAAGAGAAACTTTTATTTACAACCATGGGAATCCCGCAGGAGTACACAAAACACACATAATGTGTACACACACACGCACATGAACCTTTGAAGCCAGTGGCACGCCGCACCCTCAGTGCCCTATCCGCACCAACATCACCGTGACGTTGTCTGCCGAACCCCGCTGCACTGCCTTGTTGGCCAGCCTATTGCAGGCTGCTTCGTAGCGTGCATCCACAGCGGGCTTCCCTTCCCGGCTCTGGATCTTCTCATCCTACCGGGCAGAAAAGGGGGCTGGTGAATAGGAGAATCCTGCGCCCACCACTCTCCTGAGACAGCATCACCATAAGAAAGAATGGCTCAGTCTCCATCAGGGTAGGCAGGACAAACTAACCAGTCTCCCGGACATTGAAAATGCACACAAAGGATGTAGGAGAGAAATGGGTGTCAGTAAGATACAGCTGGATAACTGGCACTCACTCTCTTGTGCAATTTCTTACCTCGAGGCAGGACAAGATGAAGTTCACAGCTTCTTCTGGGGTAAAGACCTTGAAGAGGCCGTCGCAGGCTAGCAAAATGAACCTACAATACGGAGGAGAAATATCAATGGGTTTTAACAGCAAACTCTATAAAATGGCCAGTAACAGAGGAAAAGGAAACAATTTGTCCAACTACAAAAAAGCTAAGAATTTTTAAAAAGTAATTTGACTTCTATGAGACAAAGATTAAAACTATTTAAAAATAATTGTATATAAGTACAATCAATGGACACAAAACTTTGGGGAGGGCATGAATGGGGGGGGGCAATGGTATATGTACACAGATAATAATTTAATTTAAAAAATAAATTAAAATAATTGTAGATAGGACAAGCCTTCTGTTCATCAATATTGCAAATATGAATTCAAACATTAGGTAGATACTGAACTTTCTTATATAAACGCAAAAGGTGTATCACTGAATAAAAACATCAGCTGTTATGGTAAATAAATACAGAACTTTTATCACCATTTACAGAGCCATTTCCCGAAGATATAAAACTAGTGGTTAGACCTAAATGGAACATCCTGGAAGCCAAGCTGAGTCCAAGGCTCCAGGAGGACAACCACACACTTTCACTGTCTGAGAACAGGATTATTTCCCTATAAAAACCCCCATCCACTGGGTTTCCCTCTGAACAATGGTGGCTCAGATATAAAGATTTTAGTTTTCTAAGCACCAAGAAATGTTCCCCACGGCTCTATCCACCTCTCTTTTCTCACTGTCATACCCAGGTCTTAGTTCTCCCCTTTTGACTGGGCATTCATTCAACAGGTATTTACCAGCACCTAGTCTGTGCCTGGGACAGTGGGGCACAAGCCCCAGAAGGCTCCTGTCCCTTCCAGTGAGCTGACAACCACCCAGAGTGGAGGGGGCTAGCATATCAGACGAGATCGGGCGCGTTCAGGGTGGTATGGCCGTAGACGAGGGGGCTAGCATATCACACACAGGGGCCTGGTCTGGGGACAGGCAGACAAGACTTTCCTGGGGCATCATTCAGAAAAACAGAAGAGGGGCTGGTGGAAACACATCCCAAGATCCTAGGGTCAGCAAGAGCATGGCATGCTGAAGGCAGGCATGGAGACAGGGAGGCTGAGCAGGGAAGATCAGAGTAGGGCTCCTCACCTGCAGCTGAGACCAGGGCTCAGGGCTCTGCTCCAGAAGAGCTCCTACCCCACGGCTGCAGCTTGATCAATGAGCCTCTCTCTCCTCCCTCATCACTCAGTCTGTGAGCCCCTGGTTCTGAGCTCTTCCCTTTCTCTGCTGCACCACTGCCTTAGTTCAGCCAGGGCCACCACCAGATCCTAATGAGCCTCTGAGCTCCATCCTGCTCCAAACCCCAAGAATTAGGGCTTCCTGCCGCCAGGCAGCCAGGCAGTGTGGTGCCTCATCTCCAGGTAGCTGAGAATGGCAATGGACAACTGAACAGACCGTCTTTCTCAACCTAGCTTGGTCTGCCTAAAAATCACCCATGACCCTCCATCATGAGAAGCTAAAATTCACACTCCTCAGCATGAAACTCAGTCAGTCCCCATCATCTCTTTCACCCACATCCCCTGCCACCATTCACCTATCAATCTGTCACTGGCAGCAGCCTGGCGCCCTTTCACGCTTTCCCATTTTAATGCCTTTGTTGTGTGTTTCATCCACTAGAAAACCCTCTTGTTCCTCCAACAGGGACTCTCCCCACTCCCCACTGCCAGGCTCCCAGAGCAGCCCACACTCCTAGGACATGAGTGCCCCCTACCAGACTGTGTGGCCCATTAGAGCAGAAACGTAGAACTGTATTTTCTCTCTCTACACCTCCAGGGCCTAACACAGTACCCAAGATACGGCTCCTTACAAGCCAGAAGAGTTGGGGATAGATAGACCGCATGTGTGCATACCCATGCCTCTAGTGGGCACTTTTACCTGTCATTGGGGGTCAGCTGGCAACGTCTGATGTCTGGCACAGAAGTGACCCCGCAGCGCTTGTACTGCCCATCCCCAATGGATCGGGACACCTCCAGCACACCTAAGACACGCCCATCCCTAAATAAAGGAAAAACAATCAGACTCCATCTGTCAAATCATAAGGCCACAGTACTTACAATCTGATAGTAAACTCAGAAAAAAAGGACAGAGTAAAAGATGTAGCCTGCAAAGGTCACATTAAACAGCATCATGACCTAGCTGGTTTGGCTCAGTGGATAGAGAGTCGGCCTGTGGACTTAAGGCTCCCGGGTTTGATTCCAGTCAAGGGCCCATGCCTGAGTTGTAGGCTCAATCCCCAGTAGGGGAGTATGCAGAAGACAGCGATCAATGATTCTCTCTTATCATTGAAATTCCTCTCTCTTTCTCCCTTCCTCTGAAATCAATAAAAATATGAAACAAACAAAACCCCAGCATCATCTCCTGACCTCAAATAATACACAGGAGATGAGCTGAGTCTCCATTGCTGCAGGTCAAGCACGCCAAATTCTCAGCCCACAACGAATATTTTTGCGGCCCAGCCAATATAATGGTAAGAAACCTTTTAATAAAAATTTTGTAACTTAATTTTTACAATATCCTATTATACATAATTATTAATAATGAACCACAAAGTTCTAATGACCAATTACTATAATAGTGTTGCATTTATTTCCCTTACATGAATATGCAACATTTCTCTCCATTAATATTAGCAGCAAATATTTTAGCAGCCGATGGCCACATCATTAGTTTTGGACTGACTTGTTTGGTGTTGCAAAAGGAAATATTTCACTTTCAGAAAAAAAGAAAAATAGGTTTATTTGCATTACTTATTAATTTGTGCAGTTATTCAGTGTCTGGTAAGTACGTTTAAGGAAAAATATTTTTATTAAAATGTTCCATTATTTTGTTAACGATTACTCATTTATTTTAGTCCTTTGAATTCAGCATGTCTCTATTGAAATAAACCTATGTTTCTATGAAAATTGAAGCTTTTGTTTTTTTTTGCAGCCCATATAAACTTAAACCTATTTGGCCTGTGTTAGCCTTTGAGTTTGACATGTTTACTCTAGGTCATTAATATTTCTGTGGCCCTTGGTGCCTCAGCCAGGCTGCATATTAGAGGGAACAGTGCCCCCTCTGGCTGCACTTATGTGGTCACAATGGTCTATTAATTTGCCCAAAGCTGGGAGTGAACTTAACTGGACTGAGTAGGGACTTGGCTTTGTTTTTCGGTTTATCTTGTAGCTCCTTAGGTGATTTGAGCATGCATGCAGGTTAAGAAAAGGTGGAATAGAGGACTATTTTGCATTTAAATCTAATTAGGTTTGGAAAATACTCAAAGTGACCATTCCCAGACTTCGCAGCACCTTTTTTTTCCATCAGGTATGGGTATGATTAACTTACATCAATCGGTAACATACTGCATAGCATTACACTTTTATCCATTCTATTTTTAGGTAAAGGGTACAAAGATGGTAAGGTGATACATATGTGGGACATGCTATGAAACAGGGAATAACAGTACTTGACTCAAGGCCCCCAAAAACAATTCTGGTGGTGCTACCACACTGTGTGACCTCAGGCAGTTGCTACTGGGGGGCCCTCCGAGGAGAAACTACACTGGAGAAGATGCAGGTAAGCACTTGACAAACACCAAAGCTGGGCCTGGAGATACTGTGTGAATGGAGGCACATGGCAGAACATCCTTGCCTGGGCCGGACCACTGCCTCAAAGTCAGAGTTCAGCCTGGCCCGTCACCCTCCCAGTGGGAACAGCTGAGTGATCAGCAACAGACTAGTCCTGGCATGTGAGAGAAGTCAAGCAGTCTCCCCATACAATTACTAGAGTGAACAGCAGGGGGCGAGATACACAGGAGCAGAAGTGAAGATGAACAGAGGAGGGTTAGGAGAGTCCCTCAGCCCTGAGAGTCCCATTAAGGAAGCAGCTCAAAGCATAAGAATCCAACCAAGTGCTTCTTCAGAAACCAAGTGGCCAGGTTCCTGGTGTGGACACCCCTCCGCCACATCATGAATACAGCTCGTTTGAAGACCGAGTGTCATGATCTGGGCACTGGGCTGGACCATGCTCAGACAAGTTCATCAGAACTACATGCTTTTTCACTACCCTCAGAGTTCCCCAGACCACCGTGCTGAGGAGTGAGGGGCTCTTACGTCTCACCCCATGAATCCTGGGTCCACCTTCCCTGGCGCATTCCCCACTTTTGCTCAGAACTGTGTTAGTTCCTGCCTTCAAAGAGGCAGCCTGCTCGCCTTGTCTCCTCTTTCCCGGAAATGTTGATGGAAGGCTGGAGCTCAAGCAGTCAGCTGGGACCTTGAAGCAAAAGCCATGTGCCAAGGAATACAGAACAATAAGACACAGGCAAACCGGGCCCTGATGATACTACAAATCTTCCCTAACAGCCTGCACTGCTTTTCTCTAGATGTATCTTACGTAAGAAGTAAACTTCCATCCAGTTTTATTTGGGGGTTTTTGTCACTCACTGATGAACCTAATCCTAACCGGCAAAAACAGTGACCAGCCCTGACCTGTTTGGCTCAGTGGATAGAGAGTTGACCTGGGGACTGAAGAGTCCCGGGTTGGATTCGGGTCAGGGGCATGTACCTTGATTGCGGGCACATCCCCGGTGGGGGGTGTGCAGGAGGAAGCTGATTGATGTTTCTCTCCAATTGATTTTTTTTTCCATATATTTTATTGATTTTTCACAGAGAAGAAGGGAGAGAGATAGAGTTAGAGACATCGATAAGCTGCCTCTTGCACAACCCCCACTAGGGATGTGCCCGCAACCAGGGTACATGCCCTTGACCAGAATCGAACCCGGGACCCCCTCAGTCCGCAGGCTGACGCTCTATCCACTGAGGCAAACCGGTTTCGGCTCTCCCATTGATGTTTCTAACTCTCTATCCTTCTCCCTTCCTCTCTGTAATAAATCAATAAAATATATATTAAAAAACAAAAAACAAAAAAAACTGTGTTAGTTCCCATCTCTTTCCCACCTGCCCATGAATCATAGCTTCATGCTTCCTCAGCCAAACAACTATTTTCCTGCTAGTTACACAGACAGAAGCCCTGATCTCTGTGATCTTTGCTGGTCCTTTCTCTTCTGGTTTCCCTTTCATAATGAGAGGCAGTGAGATGGTTGCCCTGGTGGCCAGGATAAGCGGACACTGCTCTAACGTCAGCTCCTCTTGCATATCAGCAAAAGCAGGCCACAGTCGGTAGTGATGCTTTTGCATCCTCTTCTGACCCAGGTGCCCAAGTCCTGCGTCTTACTATGATGGATGCTAACGAGATAACTGAAAGTGGATTCCAGAATATCTCCTTTTTGACAACAGAGACCTACATGTGACTTGGTTCCAGACACATGCAATGCATATTTGTTTATTTAATATATTTTTATTGTTTGTTTGTTTTTTTTTTAGAGGGATAGAGCTAGAGACATTGATGAGAGAAACACATATCAGCTGCCTCCTGCACGCCCCCTACAGGGAATAGAGCTCACAACCAAGAAACATGCCCAGTACAGGACTCAAACCCCTGGGACCATTCAGTCGGAGGGGTAATGCTCTCCATTGAGCCAAAACCGTTAGGGCTGTACTGCATATTTACATCCAAATGCTATACATGCAAGCCTGCCTTGTCTGTCCTGTCCAGTTGCCTTCCTCATAAAATAAAAATAAAACTGCACCTTCTCAGAGAAGTCCACCATGATAGTGTGACACATTGTTGCACACATTATGCTACCTTTGGTAGTAGAAAGTAGAAAAAATAAAGAGTATGTATACAGATTTGCTTCTTTCTTTCTATAAGAAACATTGGAGAGAATCCAAAACTGTGAGTGAAGGGAACAGGCACAGAATCTATTATATAATAAGCCTTTTTATTTAACCATGTAAATGTGGGTTTTTTAAAAATTAGAATAAAAATATACAAAAAAATAAGATTTACCTTTAACTATTTTTTTTAATATATTTTATTGATTTTTGTACAGAGAGGAAGGGAGAGAGATAGAGAGTTAGAAACATCGATGAGAGAGAGTCATCAATCAGCTGCCTCTTGCACACCCCCTACTAGGGATATGCCCGCAACCAAGGTACATGCCCTTGACCGGAATCGAACCTGGGACCCTTCAGTCCCCAAGCCGACACTCTATCCACTGAGCCAAACCGGTCTTGGCTTTAACTATTTTTAATGTACAGTTGAGTGACATTACCTGAGTACACACTATTGTGCAGCCATCATCACCATCATCTCCAGAATTCTCTTCATCTTCTCAAATTGAACCTCTGTTGAATACTCACTCTTCCTCTAGTGACCCCCATTTCACTTCCTGGCTCTATGAATGGCTCATTTCACTCAGCAGCATGTCCTCAAGGTACACTGAATGCTGTAGCCAGTGAGAGGATCTCCTTTTTTTATAAGGCTGAATAGTATCCACTACATGGATGGACCACATTTGTTTATTGCTTCATCTACTGATGGACACTAAGATTGCTTCCACTGTCTGGCTGTTGTCAATAATATTACTATTGTGAAAGAAAAGAGCCACATGCTAACCTGACAAGCTCAGGGAAGGCCTGCGTGGCAATCTTGTAAACCCAGAGACCAAAAATAACCACAAAAGATGGTTTGAAAAATTAAATATTTTAAGTACAAACAGGTTATAGTGAGTAGTCATTTCCTAAGCCAATATTTTCCCAAAGATCAACTTTGATCTTTACTGAGCCCATTTGCCTTTTTACCTCTAAGATAACATATCTATGAGATGTCTGGGTAACTTGTAACTTCCCTTTTTCTGAAGCCCCTGGGGCACAACCAAATGTGGTGGGCGCCATGACAGATGCCTCAAATTTCTTCCTTATCATGTTAATTGTTCCTGCACTCACCTAAGTACTCATCCTTCATTTTATCCAATCCCAGGGGTTTCCCACCATCATGCTTTCTCCCGCCTCCTTACTCCATCACCAATGAATTTCATGTAACCCACCTATGTCCCTCCTTTGATTGCAATGTATAAATAGAGAAATGTAACCCGTCTTTCTTCAGAGCCTTTCTTCGGAGCATTATCTCAATCCTTTACGGTTCTGCTTCCCGGCATATGTGACAGTTTGGCTCAAATAAACTCACAAAAATTCTTTACAGGTTTCAATGGTTTTTTCGTTAACATTATAAACATGGATGTTCACACACCCATCCAAATCCTTGTTTGCAATTATTTTGTGGAATTGCTAGATCACATGGTAATTCTATTTTTAATATTAGAGGAACCTCCATACTGTTTTCCACCACAGCTGCACCATTTTACATCCCCAACAACAGTGCACAAGGTTTCAATTTCACCACGTAAATGACTTACAATATAGGGTGAAAAGCCCTAAAATCTAAGACAAATTGAAACTAGTGATCATAATGACCAAGTGGTAATACAAGCAATTATTCTAGCTTTACAAATATGTCCTTCATGAGAAATAGTTCAAGGACAAGAGAACTAACTACACTATAAGGAACTCAAACTTTGTAATAGTGATAATACAAATAAATGTAATGTTATTAGGAACCAAGATTTTCAGCAAAAAGGACAGATTTATGACTACTGAGTCACAGAGATTAAGAGAAAGCCCTGTACTGTTAAATTTGAATAACAAATAGCAGCCTTCACTCACCATCCAAAGAGTGCTGAACAGACTTAGAATTAGCGACATTCCAGGTGAAACAAGTCCCCAGCACAGGGAGCTAGGTTTTAAAGATGAATGGAAGAGTCAGCTCAAAAGCACTCCCTTTCACTGGCCACATAGGGGGTAATGTGGGCAGGAAACTAACTCCTCAAGACCCTATGACTAGCATCAGCACTGAAAGCACACCCCTGATAAATGGTGGTTCAGAACAAGGAGAAAAGAGAAAGGGAGAGAAGCAGAGTGAAAAGAAAAACCACTAGGCCTTGGCTGGGTTGCTCAGTTGGTTACAGCATTATTCTGTTAGGCCAAGGTTGCAGTGTCAATCTCATCAGGTCACATATAAGAATCAACCAATGAATTCATAAATAAGTTAAATCACTTTCTCTTCTCCACCCTCTCCCCCCTGTCTCTAAACATCAATTTTAAAAAAATAAATAAATAAGGGGAAAACTCCACTAATTTCCATAAGTGCAGGTGGCCATCTACTTTGCAAATTGATAATGAAAGAATTGAACACTGATTCTGCTTTCTGGGAAGCAAGTATGGTTCATTCATACCCTACTGATGAAGGAAAGCCTCTCCTTGTAGGATGCCTGTTAATTCTAGGAATTCCAGGAGCAGGAAATCATCTTTGTTATTCCTATGAAATACTGATTCAGACAAGAATCACTAAGGGATCTACACCATGAGATGAAAGACTGATGAAAACAGAATGTTCCCAAGGTGCTAAAGCCCATCTCCCCAGATCACCTGCTGATCACACAGAGAGACCTGCCCCTTTCCCTGTGGGGACTTGTTACCGCCAAAGTCCAGCGCTGGGAACTCCGCAACAATGACCTTATGTGGCCACTAAAGTGAGAGATTATCAAATATAGGCCACCCCCCAACAAATATTTTTCTAAAAATGTTTAATCTGAATCTAAAGAGAACTTTAGACCTAATTTCTAGTTTCTAGGAAAACCATGCAAACAACTGAAATGATACCATGAAAACACAGGCAAACTCAGAACATGCCCCTATATAACCACTGGCTGAGGAAGAGTAGAGACCATGCTACACTGAACAATGTGAATCCAAGGTGAGCATGACCAAGACACTTTGGGGATAACTTGGAGAAATATGAATACAGAACTACAGGTAACCTAAACTAACTTATTCAGTTGTGACAAATGGTAGTATTTATTAAAGTTCTAGGACCAGAGAACTGTTACAAGTGGTGACCCTGAATTTGAGGCAGGTTTCCTCTCTTTGCAAATATAGAAAGGCATGTTTCTCGTACACATTTTGCTCCCACTTGGACATAGTGAAATCCTACAACATTCACTCACCTACCTCACAGGTCAGACCTCAGTATCATCACACTAAAGACTGCACAACAAAGAAAGTTCTCCCCTGGGAGGACTCATGGCCATTCCTCCCTCTCTCCCTAGAGTTCCCTCAGTCCCTGGTTACCTGACGTTTCCTCCAGCCTTCTGTATTCTCATTCGTTCTTCATACTGGGTTGGGTTATGCTCCTTGCTGAGGCTTAAGGCTGCATGTTTTTGACTCTCCTCATTATAACGACACAGGATTGCCTGGAAAGATGGAGATTACAACAGTGGTAAATTCAGGAGCCCAGCGCCCAGAGTTACCAGTTGAAGATAAAGGTCAACCATGGAGTTTCAGTCAGCCTCCTGCCGACGAACACAAGTTCAAAGCAGAGCCGGCAAAGCAGTGTCACAGTAACACTAGCCAGGGAGAGAGGCCCCGTTGTGGGCCTCTGTTGGTGACTAGAGCGGGCACTCATCCTAAGATGTTGTCCTCTCGGGGGTGACTTGGAAAGGAGGCAATTAATAAGCACCTAAGCCCTCTTTGGGCCCAGTTACTGGTTCCCAAGTCTACACGAGGCAAAGATGAGGGCAGAGTTGGGCATGCTGACCAAGTGCTTCTCCATGTACACCTGACACCACATTTACCAAGTAATAACTTCCAGATAAACCTGGATTTTACAGAGGAGGGAGCGAGGCCTGGAGGATAGGTATCATGACTTTAGACAGGATTCAAATTTGACTCCAAATCCGGCCCCCTTTTTTTTTGTCTTGGTCCAATTTTATCATGCTATTATAAGTCACTTGGTCAAAACACTTATGTACTGGAGATAGCCTACTAAGAGACTTCCAGGATATAAACTCTCTAGGCAGAGACTGTCATGTGTAATGTTCACTGTAGCATCCCTACTGTTTATTTCTTCAGAAAATAAATTACCCCAAAAGCTACAGGGGCTGGGGGCAGCTGTCTTCAGGTCTGCAGATGGTGCTTATAGAAGGGAAGAGTCACTCTGTCACTGTGACTCCAAAGAAACACGGACACGGAGGCTGGCTGAAAAAGCTACTGATGGAAGGCGGGGGCGCTGAACCCACCTTGCAGAAGGCCAGCCTCTAGCTTTAAGTTGTTTCCCATCACAGGCTGTCAGCAGTGGAAATGCCTGGCTTTTCTCCCTTAGCCTTGTGAACTGGGCTCCTTGCATGAATGGCACATCACCTAGCACTTTCCTAGCTGCAGCTTTTGAGTTATTCTAACGTCACAATGATTTTGAGAGGCAAGGGCCTGTGGTCAGAGATAGGAAGTTAAATAATATTTGTAACTGCACACCAATTAAATTCCAACTTATAGCACTACCTGACAGAGTACACACACAAAAGGAAACATAGAAAACAAAAAGAATGTATTTGGGTTTTAAAGCAGAAGAGGTCTACTGCAAGATGTCAAAGTGACGCAAGCTCAGCTGTTGCTCCCCACCCAGAATCTACACTCTGCACTGGAGCCCCTGCAGCAATCACGCAGGACATTCCAACCCAGCCTTGGTCTTTTTAATCTTAGCCAATAAGCGCCTGCTGCCACTCTTCCCCACAGAAGATGGTGTGAGCTAAGTGGGTGGCTCCAGAGCCACATACCCGACTATCTCCGAGGTTGGCAATATAAAGAGTGTTGTCTACAGCCAGAACACACGTGGCAGTGGACCCATCTTTCCAAGCAGGTTTCCTGGGGGGAAAGACAGCAGAAATACAGTCACCACCAACATGCTAGCACTTCAAAACTTTTCCAGACTTGAATGGGAAGTGGTGTAAACTTTAAAATGAAGAGTTTCCTTAATACTTGCTTTTTTATCTGTTTCAGATTTAGTTAACAATTACAAGAACTTACTTGGTGCCAGATACTTGTCAGACAGTGAGTGTTAGTATGAAACAGAATCAGAAGACCTGAAATGCATTCAGAAAAAGAACACATACACACACACTCCA